TCAGATGCTCGACCACAGAAAAAATGCATTCAAATCAGACGAAGACGACGACGACAGCGACGGCGACGGCGAAGACTACGTGACGTTGAAATTAAATCAACTAGACTAGAGGCTGGCCAGTTGCCCAGTTGGCCAGACCACTTGACCAAGAGCCACTTGGCCAGAACGGAGACGAGTTTTGGCTTAACCCTGGCTGACTAATGCACAACACCGACTCGTCGCTGCCCAGACGGAGCAGACTGAATGTGTGTATGTGTGTGTGTGTGTCCGGTGTAAATTGTTTAACATTTAGGCAGCTTTAATTTGTAGACGTCGCTAACATTGTTGTTGTTGTTGCTGTTAGCTTCGCTGTTGCTGGCCATCAACGCCGCTGTCCGTGCAATTTGTTTTCATAATGCCCGATATTAATAAACGACCGCGGGCGACAATTTTGATTAAAATGCCATTTATATAAATGTGCCTTGGCTGGGCGAGCAGCAGCAGCAGCTCTTTAATAAAGTGATCCATGTGTTGCCGCTGCGGCTGCAGCACGTTAATCCCTTGAGTGAGTGACTAATTGTGGTCCAGAGCTGAGCACGCAATGGATGGGGATGCACGTAGGCTGGCAGGCCAATCTTTCAGCGGTGCAGTTCAAGCTGATTGCCAGAGTGCAAAAGGCGAAGGCACGTCAGCCGCAAATTGCGGCCACAGGGTTCAGATTCACCTTGGCGAGATCTGGCACGGCCTGGTTGGGGAGAAAGGCTGAGCAAATCAATAATTGTATTGACTGAACGCCGATGCAGATCAAAAGGTCGCCACATCATGCAAATAACGCGGCCAACTGCTGCAGCCGAAGATGAGGCTGCAGATGAGAACGGGTAGCCGGCCCACAGCAGTTGGCCCAGCAGCCATCATAAGTTTGCAGATTGCAACCGCGGAATGCAGACAGAGAAATATACAAAGAGACGGACGGTCGGACAGACAGACAGACATACAGACAGATAAACAGAGCCAGAATGCAGTCTTGAGACTTCAGCCTTAAGAGTTAAGACTGCAACTTGCTGAAAGGTCAACGCGATCATTTCCGCATGATTACAAATGCAATTCGTTGCTTGTGGCATGCGCAGAGCGTAGGCTCTATCCATAGCATCTGGGCATGGCACTTGAGTCACCAGTCAACCACACACACACACACACATAAGCCCAGAGAGTCTTGTATGCGCTTCGTTCTTTCTAGAGCCGAAGCTCGCGTTTGTGTCTTAAGTCATTCGTGTTTTTATGCTCGCTCTCAAGCTGAAGCCCGACCGAGTCGCGTCGGCGCTCACTGCTCTCTGCGAGCAATTCTCCACTGGATTTTCCCAGCAGGGGCAACATCACTGCGCGCGTGCGCAGGGGCAATGCCTGGGGTGTTTGAGGGGCAACAGGTAGGGGCAAGCGTAGAGTTTTCTCTGTGGATTGCATTGAGGGGTGGGTTTCGCACGACTTTCTGTGTGGGCTGTGAGGGGTGGCAGCGAACTCTACACTGGGGTAAAAGAGTTGAGGAGGAGAAATGAACAGGGGAAACGAAGACAGTAGAGCAGCTTAAAAACTTTAATGAATAATACGAGATGTCATAGAGAATTGATATGGAAATCAGAAATAGAACCATTGTTGGTGAGAATTATATTGAGACATACATTTCATATCAATAAATTCATTTTTATTTAACAAATAAATAAATGTGAAAATATAAACATATAAATCAATCAAAAACTTATTTTCGTATACAGGTAAAAGCTTGAATAAATATTTTAAAATCTTTCTTGAGTCCCACGAGCAAGATGCGACACATTAAGGACTTAATCCTTCACATTCCGCATTATCGTTGCTCTGGCGAATCACTTTGCTTATGCTGTTGATAAATTGCATCAACGATGATCGATGCTGGGCAGCTTTAGGAGTCAGCTACTTAGGGCACTTAAAGACCTTCACTGATCCAGATAACAATGAAATATTGCTGCTGCTCCTGTTGCGCCTGCCGATGTTGCTGCTACTGGCAACTTGCCTGGGCTTAACTGTTGCTGTTGCTGTTGCTGCTGTTGCTGCTGCTCGGTTATCGCAATTTCACAATATTTTGCAATGAGCAATTGGCAGATGCGTCGGCTGTCCAGTTAGTCGCAATCTTAGCCGCCGCGATAAGCCAGTGTCAAAATTTAGCAACTGCTGATGCTGCGACGCTGTCAACATATCATTTGTCATTTGTCTCCACGTATCGATAGCGACTCACCAAACGGGTCTTTGTCTATGACAAATGCTGTTGGAGTTGTTGCTGTTGTTGTTGTTGCTGTTGCTGTTGTTGCCGCAATTGGCGTCTGCTGCTCAAGTCAAGTTATTAATGAAGTTGCTGGCAGTCAAAATGCGCCGCCTCATGGGCAATTAACCTGCTAATTAAATGGCCGCCGGTAGCTGGCGGCTTTTACCATGTGCAGGAAGCACTTGGCATTTTGTGTTTTATGCGACTTCTTATCAGGGCACAAGAATCGGCGAGCGTTGGTAAAAAGCGGAGCACGCCTCACGAACTGCAGTTGCAAATGCGAGGCGACAGTTCAGCATCTCAGCTGCTGCTCCACTGGCAGCCACTTCATTAGCTACCAAATTGATGAGTTCAATTAGCCAGACCAAGACGAAAGCAGCAGCAGCAGCAGCAGGAGCAGCAGCTGCTCCTCGATGGCTCCTTCTGCCTGGTTGCTTGGTAATTAGCGCAGAGATTTTCAAATTGCCAAAACTTGTCCAGCGCTTCTGCTTGTCAAAGTTTTTTTTTTATATTTTGGGCAACCAAAAGAGGCAGCATCAGCAGATGAAGAAGAAAAGGAACTACAGGTAGATGTATGTCAGTTTGCTGCATCGAGGCATTTTGTTGCTGCTGCTCCTGCTGCTTCTGCCTGGTTTCACTTTCGCAGCATTGTGAAATCAAACGAATATGAATTCCAATTCCAATTTCAATTCCTTTTTTATTTGCAGCTGCCTTAGCATTCGTAGAATTCAGAGCAATCCTTTATAAATGTTTTTTTTTCTGTTATTTTATTTTCTTATTTGGCATCCGGGTTATTCGGCTGTGCTTAATGAGCCCGCTTTTGGAAATGGTATTCTCGTGTTAAAACATTGATTCGATTGGCGCTCTTAAAAGGTGTCGCCGGCCCATAAAATGAGCCAGCTTTTGCTTTTCATATATATATACACACACACACATATGCCTATCTCCCATTTATTTTTTTGGATTTTTATATTCTCACTGACTGGCCATAAAAGTTTCGCCCAAAAAATCAAAAGGCGCCGTATCCTTTTTTCGTTAATTAACGCATCAATTTTAGTTTTATTTTTGTTTCCCTTGCAGTTTTTTTCCTGCTCGAGCTTGGCTACCCGCTAAGAGCACAAAAATTTTCAGCTGCTGCCAAATTGTGCGTTTAGCTTGTCAACTTTTATGGAGCTTATGCTTTAATTTTTAATTGTAATGCGCATTTAGCAGCAGCAACCGGCAGCAGCAACAGCAACCAGCAGCAGCAACCAGCAGAATGGTTGACCAATTCATTAACATATACAGACGCAGTGACCCATATACAGGTGTGTCTGTCCACGTATGCGCGAGTGTGTGTGTGTGTGTGTGTAAAAAGTTCTGTTCTGTTTCCTCATCGCTTTCATTTTCACAGTCCCACGTTGAGAGCTCTTTCACACACAGCTGTCCGTGTGAAAAGCATTTCAGCGATTTTCAGAATGCTCCAAATGTGCAGCGACTGAGAATTTTCGGCGAATGTAATGCGAAAGAAAGCAGAGTGAGCGCTCATTAGATACCCTGTAGTAGATAAATTAATGAGTTTAAGTATAGAATTTGAAATGAATTGAGTGGCATAGAATAAGAACTCAATTGATTTCATGTCTCACTCACAGATTGTAGAACTAAAACCCGTATACTATCATGAACATATGTAAAATTTAAAACATATTTGCTCTCTATGTATCTGATAATTATATTTATAATCTATCTCTCTATCCATTTATCTATCTATCGCCATCTCTAATTTGTCATCTATTATATAGATATGTAATCCCATAGGAGTTCACATACTCTGCATTCCTACTATTTAAAAGACAAAACAGATTTCAGATAAACGAGCATTGTATTTGAAATTCCATTGTATTTGCTGTGAGCTACGACAACAGAGGCCACCCCACGCTCTGCTCTTTTGCAGGGCATCGCAGACAAATCGCAGCGAAAGAGTGAGTGTGTTTTAATAAAGTTCTCATTCTCACATTATTCGTCACGCCGCACAAACGCGTCGGCGCGCCCACATTCCACTCCAGAGAAGGTTCTGAGCGCTGTGCGTGTTTGATTCCCAGTCTCATTAGCGGATGGCCAGCAATTTACCCAACCGCACTACCTCTCCCACTCTCTCTCTTTTCCTCTCTCGTTCTCTATTCACTTCAACTTCACCAGGGACAGTTCACATGTCGGCGATGATCGGCCTGGCCATGGCCATGGATTTGCGCGTTCCCAGGCGCATTGCCGCCAACTGCACAAGTTCTCGTGTGATTTTTCGGAATCGCAGCGCTTCGTGGGTAAGCTCTTCGAATGCCACCCCTAAAATGCGCTGGAAGCGTGTGCTGCACCTGCATCCATACGCATGGGGGTTGTTTCGCTGCTGACGCGTGCCGCGCGTGAGAAATGCAATTTGTTATTGTTTAATGTTCGCTCTGTTTGCTTTGTTTACTCTGTCTGTGTTTACACAGATTGCAACAGGCGTTGCGATCGACGACTAGCTACCAATTTATGGCTCTTGAACGGCATTTGAAGCTGCTGCAGTCGTGCCTAAAGGACTTCGTTCAAATTACCGCAACATCAGCTGCAGCTGAAGAATAGAATACTCCAGTCCAGTGCGCCTGCTGGCAGGGATAATAACTTATTGAATAACTATAGCTAAACATAAAGGAAATTCACATTAAACTTTTAGAACATCCCAAGAGCATGGCAAGCCCAACTCATTCTCACAGAGACACAGCTGAGTGGACGGCCATGGATTGATGCTTGTCGTCTTAAGCAAACATTTGATGGAGCTCTGGCATGGCAGCTTCTGCCTTTTACCTAAATTTAGACAAAAACCATTTTAAGAGCAATTTTCAATGGATGGCGGTTATAATGAGTTTGTTGCTTAAGTCTTTTGATATTTGCTATGTGCATTGCATTTGAAATCGAATTTATTTTTATAAACGTAATACGTTTAAACCTGAGCAAACAACATCATCAACATCATCTGTGCAGCAGCAACAGCAACAACAACAACAGCAACTTGAGATAAAAAGATTTTTGTTTCTTGATTTTGTTGCACCAAAAAAGGCAACGGCAACTCCCATTAAACGGCCCAAAAAGGCAAAAGTTGCTGTTGCTGTTGCCTTTGTTGTTGTTGTTGTTGTTGTTGCCGATGTTGCTGTTAGTGTTTTCTTTGTTAACTGGCGCCCACCACGCTGCAGCGGCCACCGGCGCAGTCGCTTGTATGCATTTCATGTTTGTGGCGCCACGCCCATGCAACAACTGCCACATGCAACGCCCACCAGCCAGTCAGCCAGTCAGCCAGCCAGCCGAAGTCAGAGCAACAGTCTCTGTGCCATATTCCCAGATTTGTTTAGGCCATTTTGATACGCAGCCCAAGTGCAGGCAGCAGCGTCATTAAAGCAGCTGCATTTAATTTCAATGCCCATTTAAGGCTGCGAAACTTTGCCATGTTGTTGCTGCAGTTGTTGCATTCGCTTGCTGCGGCTGTTGTTGCTGCTGTTGTTGTTGTCAAGGGCTCAGTTTTTCCCCCAAGCAGAGTCTTGGCCCCAACCTCACAGCCTAGCAGCTGCGCAGCTCAACGCATTTTTTACAACATTTTTGCCGCGACTCGAGCCCCTGGGCCTACTTCAAATCCCACTTCGGTATCCTAGTCGTAGCCAAACACGTGCAGCAACTGGGCAGAAGCAACTCGGCCCCGTTGTGGGCTCCCCTCGTCAGTTGTAGCCGCTGTTGTTGTATCAATTAAAGCTGCGCTTGATTTTCACATGCGTAGGACGACAGGTGCAAAATGCTGCAATGACTTAGACCCCAGCCGTTGCAGGCAGCTTGATCTCAGCTCAGCTCGGGCAACCCGTTCGCCGTGATTTGAATTTTTCCATGCGGTTGGGCTGGTAAATGGGCAAAGCAGGCGGCATTCAGACACAGACACAGACACAAACACAGAGAGAGGCACAGACATGGGCACAGGTGCAGTGGCAACAGCTGCTCAAATCATTTGCAAACGCGTTAAGTGCATCACCGGATGGGCGGCAGCCTGCTTGACGAACGGGTGGCCAACACACCTGCTCACACACACATACACAGCTGTTTCACTCACCTGTGCAATTTGCTAATTAAGATTTTACAATTCGCTTTTTATTAGTGTTTAGAAAATTGTAGGAAGTGACATCTGAAACATAGTTGATGACAGCTCAAATAAGTTCTTTGGCTTAGCAAATTTCTAGATACATATGATATATATACATACATCATCGCATTCAAGCGATATAATCGTATGTTGAAAAATGTAATTTTACAGGAGAAGCTTTTATTTTAAAGTACAAGAGCTAGAAGCTTCAAATTTGGATAGTTAAGTTACCAGTAACCTCGTCTATCGATTACCCAAATAATATTGTTACGCAAAAAATCAACATACGATCATTTCGCTTAACTAACAGTATGTCTAGCCCTATCCATGTTCACAAGTAGTTATCCACAGTAGAGCGCTCGTTGCGATTGATACGCAGATTGCCCATACAGCCCTCGAATAGTATATCGGCGATTGCCTTGCGCGCTAGGATGCGCTGGGTGGGGGCCATCTCTTCGTATTGGATGGCCCAAGATTTGGCCAATGTCTCGGAGGATTCGCTTAACGAAATGTTTGACTTCTGCGATGTAGAACCCTTTAAAACAGTCAATGTGGTTGATGTGGAGCATGATGGCTCGTTAAGATCTGAAGCGCTTGTCTCGACATTATCCACTTTGCCAACATCATTCGATTCCATAGTCTCGGCCTGAATGGTATCCAAATCATTTTCAAATATTTCAATCTTCGGGCTGAGCAGCAAGCTCTCATTGAACTCGGTTGGAGGAGGTTCAGAGGATGCATTGGTGGGTAACTTGGGTAAAGAATTCATCGCACCAGTGTCCAATGGATCCATCATGTACTGCAAAAGTATAAATATGTCAGTATACAATACAATATATACATAGTAATACACAAACTGTAACTCACATTATATTTTAAGTCTAACGCTGGTTGAGGTTTATTATAGGGCTTGCAACGCATCTTGCGTGCTCTACGCTGAAAGGACTCTTGCGTCAGCAGAAAGCTCATATTGTCATAGAACCATAGTGTGGGCTTGCACAAGTCCGGATGCAGTCCCAGCTCTTGTTGCTTCCAAATTCGCATTTGCTCGCGTCTATAGTTTGTGCGAAAAATGTTTATGCGACGTCCGACATCGCTTTTTGTTGCAGTCGGTTGAATCTCTCTTAATTTATTGTGTAAAATATCGTATGATCCGTTCCTTAATTCCTTGTTCCTATAATCCGGATGATGAACGTCCCACAGTTCTGGCATATCTTGATACAGTTTCAAAAACTCGCGCCAGAACTGTCGCTTATTAGCAATAAAACGATCTAGCAACCCTGACATTGTGTGCAGCCAACTTCGCGTTATATGTGCGTTAACAGAGCTCTGTATGTTAACAGAGTTACAGGTTTTGCGCAAACTGCACAGAAGACGGATATTATTAATATGAAAATGTTTTGAATATGTTTGATTTGTTTTCAATTTATATCCTTCACTTACTGTTTAGCTCATTAAATGCGTATTAAATAAATGTACAAAATGCACATACTTGGACAACCTACTCGTGGCAACACCAATCACAGACTGACGACGACGATGACGGTGGATGTGTGACTCTGTGAGCGCTGCTTGTTGTCGATTGATTGATTGATTAGTTTCGTGTCTGTGTGTCAGCATGTTTGTGTGCATGTGTGCGTTACTTTGCTTTTGCGTTTATTTCTGTGTGCGTCTAGGTAAACTGTCCATCAATCAACAGACGTTCGTGGAAGCATGTGAGTGTGTGTGTGTATATGTATGTACATATGTACATTGACGCATGCATGAGTGTAGGTAATGGGTACGATATGTATTCATTAATTTACTTATATACAAGTCAGTTATGTATGTACATACTATATATTGGTCAAATATATAGACAACTTTACGATTGCTATCAAAAGTTTTGTTTTGAATGTTTATTATGAACTGCCCCGGCGTAACCAACACCACCCTGTGCCACATGGCCCAAACGCATATTTGTATGTACAAATGTATATATGTATATTTATGTATGTATGCATATTATGGCGTATGGATGTAAGTTTGATTGTATGTATAAAAATCTTTGAAATGCCCGTTTTGCTGCCCGCCCAAGCTAAGTCTGCAACTAAGGGCAGACATGCGCACTAAGAAACAAGCAAACTCGTTGAGTCGCATGCCGGCTATGCATTAATACATTTAGCAAGCACAATCGCAATGACAAATCCTAAGTAGAATCAGTTGCACTTAGTGCTGTGACTTGAAGCTGCATGAGTAATGTTAAATGCTTACATTGGTAAATTAATGGCATACATATATGTACATACATAGAAATATTTACATACATATTTAATTTACATGTTTTTTCGGACAATTTTTTTTCCAATGTCACCCTGTGCACAGCACTTGCGTGCATTGCCACCCACCGTACAAACGCACGCACATACTCACACTCACACTCAAATGCAATTACACCATGTAAACGTATTGGTGAGCGCAGACTAATTCTGTGAGCGAATGCAAGAGAGTGGCAACCTCGCCTCGGTGTCGGCAACAACAACGGCGGCCACCAACTAAGGGCAGACATGCGCACTGGCAAGCAGCGCATATATTTGGACTGATTTTTTGATTATTTGCATGAGTGTAGTAGCTGTCTATAGAGATGCAACAGTTGATATGAATTTGTAGGTGCTATATTTGGTTTGTTGTATTTGGTAAAAGTACACGTAATTAAAAATATACAAGTATTCTATGATTGATTGCATCCAGTTGCATCTTCGAGATGTGCTACTAGCTACTAGCTCTTAAACATACACGTGTATCAGATAGCCGTACACTCATCCATCATGGATGACTACTCTTAATCTTTATCGTCGTCCAGCTCCCAAAGAACCTCGTCGGCCCGCGTTGTTAATTCAATAAGCCGCGTGTTTTTCCTGAACGTGGCAAACTCTTTCAATAACTTCAGGTACTTGCGCGCCTCACCACAGCTAATTATCGATTGACCATTGTTGTTCTTGTCATGCGTCTGCGGCGATTGCAGCATTAGCTGCTGTTCCTGTTCCAGCCGTCGACGCTTCGGTTGCTGCGGAGGCGGAGTCACCGTTGGCGTCTGAGTGGGCGCCTTAGTCAACGTGGGCATGGGCGGCAATGTGATCATGGGCGTGTCAATCTCTTTTGCTGGGCTACGACTTCGTTTGTGCTGGCGCATGGCACGTGTCTGCTCAATGTACTGCTTCTCATCATCTACATTGGCGGCCAATATTTCAGCCAAGGAGGTAACGCTGGAACGGCCACCATTGTCATCGTCGTCATCATCGATGTATTCGCCATCGCTGTCCAATTCCTGCTTAATGCACACAGCTGCATGCTCAGGGGCTGGCTGCTCACTGCTAGCTTCCTCTGCCTGCTGCTGCAGCAACTGTTGCTGTTGCTCTTGTTGCTGCTTCGCTAGCTCCAGCGTCAGCTCCACCTCCTGATCGTCCGTATCTGTGGGCTCGGTTTTGATCTCCTGCTTTATGTCCAGCTTGGGTGGTGGTATGGCTGGCTTTTTCGGTGGCGTCACCACTGGTCGCTGCGTAATGCTCTGCGTCAACGTAGCAAGTGGTATGATGGTCATGGTCTGTGCCCCGGCAGGGGCTACTCCTGGTGGCAAAATAGGCGTGGCCAGCAGCACCTTTTGCGAAGTGCCGGGTGGCACTTGTGGCAGTCGCACAATTTGTGGAAGCGGTTGCAGTATTTGAGCATTTAATTCACTTAGCGAGGGCTTCACATCTTGCGGCTCAAGCTCGCAGCTATCGCCGCCACCATCGATATCAACGTCACCTTCGTCGTCGTCCAGATGGCTGCTGTTGCTCACAGTAGCGTTGAAGTCCTCCTCGTCCTCTTCATCCTCGTCCATAAGATCCGGCGCCACGTCTTTAGCTGGCGTGCACTCAGACATCACATCCTTGACTATATCATTGATCTGCACCGAGGAGCTGTGCAAGTACGCAAACTTCAATAGCTTCGTATCGTTGTGGTGTATGCCGTAGGTGGCACGAAATTTGTCGCACCACTCCTGATGCGGAAAGAAGTTGTTCAGGCCCATAGAGCTCTTGAACTGCAATGCCATCTTCTGTATCAGTCCATCCGATATGATGAAGTCCTTGTAGTACATCATGCGGCGAATCCATTCGAAGACTGCCTTGCCCAGCATCGATACCCTCACCACCTTCAGCTCCTGCGTTTTGTTGTCTTGGCAGCGTCTTGTGCGCTGCTCCCATGCCCGCATCACTTGCTCCTTCTGCTGCACAATGCGTTTGATCTGATCCGGACTGCAGTGGAACATTCGGCCCACATGCTTGTACACCGGCTGCCGTTCATATTCTCGCAGAGCAGCCACCTTTTCATTCAGTGCCAAGACATTTTTTCGCTTGATGCGATTGTCAAAGGCTATCCTATCCGATGGATTCAATGGCGGCAATGGTGGCGACTGGCGCGTTGCTGTTGCCTTTGATGCTGTTGGTGGTGTTTTGGCTGTTGTTGTTATCGCTTTGGATGTTGTTACAGTTGCTTTGGTTATTGTTGTAATTGGTGTTGATGCTGATGTTACCACTGCTACTGTTGTTGCTGGTTTGATTGGCTTTTCCTCAACATCAGCTGCAACTGGCTGCAAAGATTCATGAAGGCTAATTTAAGCACAGCAAAAAAAAAAAAAAAAAAAAAAAAAAAAAAAATTTTTTACCTTTTGTTTATCGCTGCCTTTTTGAGCCTTTTGCTCTTTGTGCTGCTTGCGTTTGTCGCGCACACGCATTGCCGTACTTGCGGTTATTTAATTCCTTCAAAAAATATTATTTAATTGCACCTAAAACGTTACGATAAATGTTATTGCCCGTTGTTGTTTTAAGCATTATTGTTTTGTTTTGCTGCGCTGACTCACCCTGTGCACAGTGCACTGCGACCTACTCCCTGCGCTCTCTTTAACGCACGATTCTGTTTTGGGCACACATGCATACGTGGGCTACATGTATGTATGCGTGCGTCTGTGTGTGTGACTGAGTGCGTCCGTGTGCGATGGCTACGATTATGCGCGTTGACAGCAACAAAACGTCGCCTTTTTGTAGATTTTTGCGTTTCTGTGTTTTTGGCGTTTTGTTTGTAAATTTGTATGCACTTTTCTTTACACTTTTTATTCTTATTGCTGTCTAGAAACAGATCTAACACATACGCACACGTGTACAATTGCTTATAATTTTTTCCCGACTAGAACAGCGTTTTATATGTATAAAAATAGCTGCCCACCCGCTGCCAGCGGCTGCCGTTTTCATTCTGCTGCTCCGTGTTTGTTCGTTGTGTGAACGCGAATGCGCATTGAGAGTACTTTTCTGCGCCGGCGGAGAGCTTCGTGATAAGCGTCCAAGCAGCGCGCACTTTAACTTGTGTAGTGAGTGTATGTATGTATGTATATGTGTATGTGCTACAACGTAAGATAATGGCAGCAGCAAACGTATGCACACACACACACACACACGTATGTGTATGAAGGCTAGAGCGAGAGAGGGTTGCAATTTTTCACTTCTATTTACCAATTTGCACTCTCATTGTACTGCGCATGCGAGAACTTTACGAACGGCAGCACGAATTTGATATACATTTTAGACTCAATTCGATCGCAACAAAACGATTTAATAGAACAACCTATTTTAAAATTTGGGCATGCATAAATTTCTGTTTATATTTGTATAATTCATGCTTACATACATATACTATGTACGTATGTTACATGTTTACATTGAATTAGTTATTTGATTCATTACAAACGTGCTCGCTTATCTAAGCCAAATTTCGTGTAGTGTTGCAGTATATGTGACATTGCAGCGGGATTGTCAGCGGGCAACATATGACCGGAGCGCTTAACCCAGAACATACTGAAATTTCCAGCTGTTTTCTTGTATCCCTCCAGCACGTGATCCACGGTGATGTCAACGCGAGGGCTGCTCAAATATTTGTCCTTATCATTCCATTTCATATTAGCAATCCAGTTGACTGTACCGGGCGTGGCACAAATTAAGTCCAAGCTGCCTGAATAGACACCAACTTGAACAGTTGTACTGTTCAGCAGCTCCTCAACTATGCAAACACAAAAATAATTTATATATACTTTCTATATATTAATGCATGTGACCTACCGATATGAACAGCTGGCTTCATAAAGTCGCCCCAAAGCTTGTTGAAAGTTGTCCCACTTTGCGCGCCCCACTTGATGGTTAAGTTAAGTGCTTTGGTTACGGGTCCCCGCATCAGATCCTCTAACAGTTTATCTCGATCCTCATCAATGTCAAAATGCACCAAGGTGCGATACATGCGCTCTATAAATACACATAGCTTTAAAAACGGTTTCTTCAGTTGGAATGTCGTAGCTCACCTTCCGGACTCATATCTACCAACAGCCTCAGATAATTATCACCGCGTGTGGGAGTCTCTACATTGTAGAAATCCACGCCCTTCGATTCACGCTTCACTACCGACTGAGTGGAGCTCCATTGACTTGTAGCTTGTGTCCACTCTTCACCATCAACCAGGTTCTTGGTCTTCAAAGCTGCGGCTTCGATCTTATCATGGCCATCCTGATCGACAATGCCCAATTGGAGCAGATAAGGCGCCCAGGAAAGCATTGAGTCAATGGGAGATGTCCAGGGATCACCGAGAGCTACTGACTGGAAGTTGCTCTCGATCTCACCTCGTTGTATGGCATAGTATAGCTCCAGAGCAAACTCTGGTGCCATTTTGCCTCCATAGCTCTCACAG